TTCTCCATACATAGGTGCATATAAAAGTTACATAGATTTGATATTTGTTAAATTTATTTCAGTAATTCAACTGAAAAAGTTACTCTTGGACCTTACAGCCATAAAACCAAAACCCCAAATCAGTTCAGCATAAAATTATATTACAGACCAACAAAAATATTTTCAGTACAAAATGTTGGCCTACTAACAACTTTGTCAGTGTACTGCACACTATAAGAACTTCATATTTGGGCTATGTTCACATAGCAGGCAAATGCGACCCACATTCGACTTTTCCATCGCAGTCTGAACAGCCCTGTTTTGATCAGCTGGTCTGCATGGTTTGCTCTGGTGTCTCTGGTCTTCCTCCTGAAAGTATTTCATAAATTCTCTGTGAAGTTTTTTTTTTATTATTATTTTATTTCTTTGAGATCAGTTTGTTGGTCAGTCAAGCCCAGCGATTTCATGGTCATTAAAGTTGACAGAGTGGGCAGGTGCCAAATCCTGCTTGAAAATGAAATTGGCAGAGGGAAGCACGAGATTCTGGTTGGGATTTAGACCGTCCTGGCTTTGCACTTGATAAAATACACTGCACATTGTGATTCTCCCTCGAACAAGCATTTCAAGGCTGCAGTTAACCCTTTTTTGTGCATCTTTTTCAACCCCTCTACTTGTTAGGAAAGCTGCTAACAGCTAGCTTGCTAAATGAAGCCCACCTTAGTGGATGGTGTCAGTAGTCCCCTTTCAGATTATCATTTTATCTGGTGATCTACTTGTTTATCACGGCTTGATTGAAATGTTCCAGTATGGGCATTACGCCATGAATCCATCTCACCAAGTAGTAATGAAACTGGAATCAATATGAAATGTAACGAGTGTGACATAGTACGAGCAAAGAGTTAACTCAGACAGGAGATACGGTTTTATTTTCCAGATTCTGTCAATAATAAACATGTCAGTTATTTTATTTTTTTTTGTAATGACTGTGTAACCTGAGTTTTCCATTTTTAGTTGAATTGCTGCAATCCATTTTTTAAACTTTTAAGTTATTGAGATGGAGATGACTACAAGCTGCTGAAAATGCAACAACTAAACCTCTGACCAGACAATGAGAGAATAAAAAAGTGCAAACATTTTTATGAGTCTGATGTTAAGCTGTAAGAGTCAAAGTATGGCAAAATATTATTTTGCAACCACTATCACACAACTGCTGGGATCCACAGAAGTGCAAATATTTGATCTTTTGTTTGTTTTTAATTTTATTCATTTTTATTAAATGCATATTCAAGGTCACACTGACATGTGACTGGGGTTGGAGTTTATTGCCAGATGACGCCTACTCCCACTTGTCCACCTTACTATGTACTATATCATAATTTGTATAGCACTTTTCTCAGTTTTAAAATGTGCCGTGAATAAAACATTTAATCTGATCTGAATGTATGTACTCATTTCCGATTCTTGTACTATTCATACATGGTTCTAAAACTATGGCGTTTCTGTCCTTTTAGGGTCTGTCAATGAGGCAAATAAGATTTCGATTTGACGGTCAGCCTATTAACGAAACAGACACACCTTCACAGGTAAGCCAACATGTTGTTTAGCTTGCATTTCAACTTTTTGCTTCTAGGCAATTTGTTTTTCAGCTTGTGGACTTTGAATTCAAGTCAACTTTTATAAGGGATGATTGAAATAAAAGCAACTTTAAAAAGACTATTTACGGATGTTTTATTTTGAATGCTTTTATTGCCCAATCCTGTTTCTAAGGCTGTTCTGTAAAACTGAAACCCAGACAATGTTACAACACAAATCTCTGCAACTCTGCCTTTGGGAAGAACACCTGTCCACTGAGATCAATTTTCTATTCTCATGTAGATTCTGTTTGTTTCCTGGGCTTAAGTTATTGTACAATACTCTGAGTAGTGGTGAAATAAGAGGAGTGTGAACAGTGACTTTTCAAGCCTTGTTGCTCTCATGTTGGCTACTGATATTTCAGCTGTTCATGTAGTCATGTAGTCTGCTTTTAAATAAACTTGGGTGTAGTGTGAATAAAATAAAGCACCACAGTCAAAAGACAAAAACCTTAAAAAATATACTTTATTTTTCTTTTAAAAATCCACTGTTTGTTTTAAAACCAGGAGCTGTATTGCATCCAAAGATTGTCTTCATTTCTGTATAGCTCTCAATCCACTTTTTATGCTCAAAAAACACAGAAAAAATCTGAAACATTTTAAGACCAAAAACAAAACTTCAGATTAGTCTCTTAAACGTGTCTTAAGCCCAACCCCTGCAGAAAAACCACAGGTGTTAACTGAAGTTCAGATCGAGAACAGTTTTTCCTGTGAGATGATGAGCGCTAACCACTGCTTCACCCTGTCAGTCGAGTTTCACAAATACTACTGACTTTCAGTTTGCTCACAGTGTTTTTTTATGAAACCAAAGTTGTGCAGTTTGCATAACTTTGTATTCAGGTTAAATTTCAGACCATCTATATTGTGAACACAAGAGTAAAAGACCAGATTTTGGAAAACTGAACCACTTAGTTCTGTTCAGGGGACTGGTGCACACAAGTAAAAGGTTTTGCTTACTGTAAACTTTAGTCACCCATCAACATATTTAGTGTTGCTGGTGTGACCAGCGTTAAACCTACTTCTGAATGCTTTTAGTTCCCTTTCGATACGACAAGCCACAGTTATATTAAATGTTTTTTTTTTAAATATCTTCAGCTATGAATGGCACTACAGCTTAAAACATTTGAGTTTGTTTCTTTTTTCCTTCCTCCCTTTTGACAATATTGTGCAAAAAAACCCTGAAGTTTATGCCTTTATTGTTGAACTTGACCAGGGTAACCCTTAACAACAAGATGAGTCCTTGTATGATGAATCAAGTTATCAAAGCAGTTTATATGCAGACAAACACTGCACAATAAATATGTGGACATTCAGGTGAAATAAATGGACAGGATTTTGTTTAGCCAAATTCCAACTATATAAACCCTTATAAAAGTAAGATGTGCTTATGTTTATCATGTTTACTCAGCAAAGAGTACGTTTATTTATCTCGTTTATTATCTCATTCGAAGTCTTTGGTATCGTGATATGACAACCTCATCTAAATTTGTACATTCACATTAACACATTTCTTGGTAAAGACCTTGTATTGTGAAAACTGCTGTTCACTTTTACCCAAAGACTCTAAGCTGACCTTCTTTTATATTTCCCTTACAGCTAGAAATGGAAGATGAAGATACAATTGACGTGTTCCAACAGCAAACTGGAGGATCGGCCCTTTAAAGACTGTTTCCTGTGAACATCCCTACCTCCCTTTTTGTCCCTGAACACCTTTGTTATACCCAGTCTTCATATGCTCATCACCAGTGTTTATATCATGGGATACTTGTACAAAAAGATGAAAGGCAGCAGGGAGAGTTGGCATTCACCTGCATTGCACTGACACTTAATATGTTAGCATGTCTGAACTGTGCAGTGTGGAGATATCAAAAGCTTGTCAAGTTTTTTCCCCCTTTTTCTTTCTTTTTTTTTCTTCTTCCCAAGAGCTGAAATTGTTTTTTATACATACAACAGGGGTTTTGATTTGGATAGAATATTGTTGATGAGTAAGCCCGTGTTTTAAATTTGCTGACATCTGTTGTTTTAAAGTGTATTATTGAAATAAATTGACTTTTTTAATAAAATGTTTGGTGTTCAGCTTCCTATCCTACTTATGTTGCCTTGCAGAAGTATTCATACCCTTTGAATTTCTCCCATCCTGTCAACATGACCTTCAGTGTATTCAGGCCATTTTGATTAGACGCTCAGCCTTGGCCTTCACAGGTCAACTCATGAATAAACAGTCCATACTTGTGCAATTTAAATTCAAAACACGATCTGTGCATGGCTCAGAAGTTTGACAGGAAACTTTACAGAGCAAAAACAGCAGGAGAGCTGGGGAAAACATGGACATGTTTAAAGGAGGATTAGATTGGAACACAATATTCTAAGCTTGAACATCTTACAGAGGGCCGTCATTTCAAATGCAAATCATCCAGGACATGGCTGTTCACCTGAACTGGTCAGATCAGAGCAGAATCAAGCATGATGCCAAAAGGCTTATGGCAGCACACTGAAGGAGATGGGAACATCAACAGCTCTGGCTGGAGAAATTGTTGATGGGACAAGTATTTGTCATGAATGTCCCAGTCTAACCCCACATCCAAATCTGGGAATATGGGATTAGACCATATCCCCAGTAAATCCGGTTTACAGATTATAAAAATGAGGTTTATAATCAGTAAACCTTAGATTTACTGATTATAACTACCCAATCTTACTGAACTGCTTAAGCCATTTTGTGAAGGAAAATGGGTAAACACTCTAGCTGTCCAAAACCTGCAGGAATGCCCTAAAAAAGAGCGGTCATAAATTAAGTGAAAATTAAGTGAGGCCCCTCAAAGGCATCAAAGAAATGCCTTTGAGGGGCCTTTAGAAAATGTTGTCTGAAAGTTTTCAAAAAAGTATCACTGTCAAAGTTGAACTACCCATTAAATAACATTTTCTAAATGTTCTGTTAAAGTTACATTGTGAAGTTACGGAGAACATTTAGAAAATATTACATTTAGTGGATGTTTCCCAATGTCTGCCAAAAAAGTTACAATACAATACAATACTTCAGATAACCTTTGGAGAACGTTCTCTGGTCGCTAGAAAATCATTAACCCTTATATATTATTCTGTTAAATTATTCATAATCTGAGTGAACTCTTCCAAAATGACTGAGGCTTTGCGACACTTCGGCGTATCAGCAGATTAGAAATGTAAAGTCAACCCGGAAGCTCTGACACCTTATAGATTTTAAATGAGTTTCAAAGCGAATTAGATAGAAGGATATATAACAAATGTGTAACAATATTATTACACATTAATGCCATACAATATCTGAATCATTTACACGTATTTGATGCCACTAAACACCACAAAGCTCGTCTATTAGGTTTTATTTTGAAGGCTTAGCCGGAAGTTAGGCGCAGTCTTCAGCCTGTGTTTCCTGCTCAGACTGCAGGCAGGTGGATGCTGATGCTTCGGAAACGTTAGCTTGTTCGGGCGATGATGAGGTGGTGAAGCATTGTTTAAACAAGTTCAGTTTGCGTGACTCCTGACAGGTTTATTACTAGCGTACGGCGTTTTTGTGCAGAAATGACGACTACCACGACATTTCAGGGGATGGAGCCCGGTGCTAAAAACAGTTCCAGGTAAATAAAAGGCTTCAATCAGACCGATGTGAAGCCTTTAGCCCACACGTTCAGCATCCTGACTTTACCAACGGTCCAACGTGTAATTAACGAAAATATAGAATTTTTCTAAAAGGCTTCATTTTATGTCTAACTAACCGTTTAATATGTTTAAAATGCGATAGATCAAACCTGCAGTTTGGTGTTTTTACGATGGAACATTCGGATTATTAATCATAGCTAGCAAGTTAGCATGCATGGACCATCCCTTTTGTAAAAAAAAAAAAAAATGCTACCCAGCTAACAGCTCGGTGCTAACCTCTGCAGTCCTTTTACATTTCCGCTAGTCTGTGTGTGTGAGAGAGGGAGAGCTGTCGTGTTTACAGTCTGGGAAAGATTTCATACACCAGATCGGTCCATTAGGGTGGGGTCTCGGCACATTTCAGATCAGTTGTCAAGACGACAGTTGATGTAGACTCAGTCTGCCCAGCATGTCGCCTGATGATAACAAGGGCCATATTACAGCTGGCCACACCTGACACGTGTGCATTTTATGTCACATGAGGGATTTGAATTAATCTGGATTATTAGAAATGTGTTTACGCTACAGAAATATTGAGCACTGAATAATGTACAATTGTTGATGTTTAGTGTTTTCCCCCTGAAAATGCGTGAACAAATTAGCACGTTATAACGACGTAATTGGAGAGGTAAACCAAAATATATGCGGCCTATAGATTTACAATTCACAACGAACCTTTTCTCAAGCCATTTCACATGACAAACTGGTCAAAGAATTATACAATCAAATCAGTATAATTCAAATCCAGTTAGGAGTGTGATCAAATGTTTTATATCCAAAAATGTTTTGTTTAAAACACTAACAGCAATCAGATGAAACAGCATATGTGGATGTCACATGTAAAATGGAAAATTACAGTAAAATATATTTTGTGTCAAGCCTTTGCAATTTTTTAGTAATTTCAGCAAAAAAACTAAAGATCGTGGTCATAAAGTGTGACCATTTCCTGTTTTCTCTGCAAACAATGAGCTCAGCTGACTTTATTTCTCCTAATAGTGAAATTAAAAACACATATGACTTTATGAAAGCTCAAAGTTTTCTGTTCTAGTGGTAAACTAATTGCAACAGAAAAGTGTCAGATGTGCTTGAAAGGGAGACAAATGTAGGGATTGCTAAGCATTACCATTCACACCATTAAAATCCATTTGTTCTGTTTTACATGTTAATGAACATGTAGCCACACACAGTAAAACCCGAAATTTAAGGAAAAGGTTTTGTGGCAGCAAAGGAGTCGCTTTTATGTAAGAAAAACAGACTGAAAATCCAGGGACTATTAGAACGCACACCAGAGAAGACCGATGCAAAGTTAGTTTCTCATATTAAATCTACCTTTGATTATTCTAGAAAGTCATTTGTGCGGTGAAGAAAATGTGAGTGCTCTCTTGCGCCCCGTTTTGTGTCAAGAATGAAACATCCTGATACAATCCATGTGTGAGCTTGGTTCTGATGAAAGGGCTTGCTCACAAAACTGCCTTAAGCTACTGCCATTTACAAATGGCGGATCAAAATGTACTCCAAGAGGAACTTTTTCTAAGAGTCCAGGCAAGATTTAGGGATGATTCAGCAGGATGGAGTACTGTATGTCAAGGCAAAAGTGGTAATGATTACAACCTTGACACTTTGAACCTGTTGTCTTCCCGGATGAATACCCTACAAAGAGGATGGAGTGCATTCTCTTTGAGTTGGGAAATTAATAATGGACAACAAGAATGGTTTGACGTCAGTCAAGACCTGGAGGAGTCCTGACTGATGTTGAAAATCCGGCATGCCAGAACAAAGTTATGACGAGGTTATACTTTAAATATAGACTCCTTATGGATTTGATGTTTTTGATTTCATTTCAGGCTTTTGAAATGCTTTCATTGCAGGTAGAAGCCAAACAGCAAATTTGTGTCAATGGAATTTTTTTTAGTCATTGTTGTAAACACCACTTGGTCTAATTGACCTTCATTGCACATAGTCGTCCATAATGTTGAATAATATCTTGTTTTTTTTTGTTTCTTTTATGTAATATGGCACATAATATAATCTAAAGTAGTGTCGTCAATCTGAAATTTCTGTTTCGCAACACAGTTTTAACTCTACATCCAGCTGTGTTGTATTAATAATAATACCCTACTTGAAAATATAAGACCTTGTGCCACTAACTGGCTTAGATTTTCATAAACCTTTCAATATTTCCAAATCTAGCATGTTTCCTAGCTGACAGAGGTTGGATGCTGTAAGCCGTTTGGCCTTTGTATTATTTGCATTTCTTGGGTCAGTTTCTTATTTTTGAACGAATGAGACAAAACAAAGTGGCTATAGTTGAGTCTTCTTTCCTTAGTAGCAACTTTCATGCTGAAGAGTTGCTTTTAGTGGAATTTCTTCATGGTTATGGATTTTTAATCCAAGATTTTTCATTTCATGTTTCATCATTTCCATGTTTCATCAACATGGAAACGTTTCCATGTTGATGAACCATGGGTTTCATCAACATGAACATGTAGCCACACACAGTTGATGAAACATGGGTTTCATCAACTGTGTTGATGAAACCCATGTTTCATCAACATGTTGATGAAACATGGGTTTCATCAACATGGAATCGACCAGAAGAAAATCTAAAACTAAATCAATGGTCCCCAATAAAGGCCATCTTGCTTTTTCTTCAAACGTACCTGTATTTGTCTAAAAGGCTAAGTTATTAGTCTGGCATGTAGCTTTTATTGTTTTTATGTAATGTCTCTTGCATAACTGGAAATCTCAAAAATAGAAAATGACAAAATTGTAAAATAAAAGAGAAAAATCCAGAGTTTGGTAGCAGTGATTTTAATGTGTTTCCAGGGTTTTGCGCCCTCCTGGTGGCGGCTCCAACATTTCACTTGGAGCAGATGAGGAGAAGCCTCCCGTCAGAAAAAACAAGATGGCGTCCAGTGTGTTCGCAGAGCCGGAAGACCCTTACGCTAATCGAAGGAACAACCCACCAGGTACGATCTCACTTACTTTTCTAGTGCTTTTTGTGTGTTGTACTAATTTTCTGGTTTGTATTCTGTCAATTTCTGCTAAAGCATTTGGCTTTTTTTTTTTTTTTTTATCTCTGAGGCCGAACAAAATAAAATTTAACAGCTCTACTTTTTTGACTGGGGACTTTAAAAAAAATCAAAGGTAAGTGGAAAGGTTATTGAAAATGGGGAAGTTTTTTTTTAGCCTCCAAGCAAGGGGTATTATGACTTGAGACACAGCTCAAGTATTTTTGTTGCTCTAACAAGTCCACTTTACTGTATATGTCTGAGTTTAGGATATAATAGGGGTGTAATAAGATCACGTCATATAAGGTCTCATGATATTGAATCATTAAAATATTTCTCACTGAGCTGCTTTCTCACGGCTTAGAGACAGTCTGCATTTTTTATTTAAATTTGTATTTAAAGCAAAATTACAAACAGGCATAAAAGTGCTAATGTCTGTTGTAGAATTTTTTTATTAAGGAATGAGAATCTGTTTCAGTAAGTAGAGAAAGATTATTCTTTGTCTTTAAGTTTCTTTATTCGAAGGCAAAAGCGTTCAAAGACCCATCTCACTGAGCGCAGTCAGGAGAAGAGCCCTGAACGACACACATCACATCGTTATATAGCCAAAGTATGACCTTATTTCTACTACCAGATGGACCACAGAGACAATCCTGACCCCGACCTCATGAACTATCCCTCACCTCTTGGAGGGGATGATTTTATGGCAGGAAAGAGAGCTGATAAGGATTTCAGGAGAAACTTCTAATTCTTCTTTGTCAGTTACTCATGGGTTCAGGTCAAACCAGGGTATAAACTACATTCCACACATGTCAGAACCTTAAGACAATCACCAGATCAAGCATTTTACCCAAGATGTCTTCAGGTCTCTTATACTATCTCAGCTGTGGAACATTATCTGGAAACTTCTTTAATGGACAAACACATCTTGCAGAAATACAAAAACACAGCAGATTAATCAGTGAATAAATGGTAAAAAAGTATCATCAGTTCCATCAAAAAATGAAATGAGGCTAAAAACGAAATGTTCTATTACGCGTCCATATCTTGGCCTCTTATTTTTTATTTTAGAAATTCAAAATGAAAGAATTCTCTAAACATTCTTGAAAGACAAAACTCCCCAGACATTTAAAGATACATTTATAACTATGTAACATTTAGAAAATTATAAATACCAACTAAAATCAAATTAATATATATTAACATCACCATCTCAAAGTATGGAAAACAACAGATTTTTGGACAAGATGACAACAAATAACTACTGAAAATCAAATTTTTTTTCCCCCCTCAAACATGCCAGTTGACATCTATCTGACTCTCGCTCAGTCTGACTCAGGAGCCCAGGTCTTTATCATTTCCTCATCAGTCCTTGAAGTCTAGTTTCTTAGCCAACTGACTTTAAATGTACAACTTGATAAGACTTCCAAGTCTTAGAATTTTTTTTTTTTTAATCAGTTTTAGCTTACTGAAAGCTCTCTACTCTGACTTCAGTTTCCTGTTTTTTCCCAGAGGGATTTCCACTCCCTAAACATTGTGCTTCCCATACTTTTTAATTCACTGACCTGTGATGTACCGCAGAGAGCCAAGCCTTTAAAAATAAATACCGGATATCAGTGTAGCACAATAAGACTGACTCTTATCACATGTACATAAGAGTCATGTAAGAAGTAAGAAGTGGTTTATTGTTCAGTCTATTTGTTTGGAAAATTAATGATGAAGAGAGAGTGCTGCAAGCTGTAAAAGAAAAGTAAAAGTTTTCCAGAGAAATCCATAATCCACTTTTTTGTAAATTCTTTACACACCAGAGGGGGCACTTCACTTTAGTTTCCATTACAGTAGAGGTTGTCAAACTTCCTGTTTATAGGTCTAAAGCTTATCATTCTACAAAAGGTTCAGGACACGTGATGAGCCGATCCCTTTTTACAGTTGTCTTACAACTATGCCTGCAGTTGTTTGTTTGACGTTCGGCTGCTCTAATTCAAGCGGTCTGATTTTAATTAGAAAAAAATTGAACTTTAAACTTGATTAGCTTTTTATTCCTCAACAGTTGGTGCCTTTTTTAATTCATAGAAATAAACAAACTGTTCTTGAAGTCTGAGAAGACACTAGTATTTTGGTATATAATAGTAAGTAGACAAGTAGATTGTTTTTCTATTACTTCATATTCTACAGTATTTTTTATTTTTTTTTACTTTTTGAACTGCTAGAAATCCCCCTCTAAATACAGGCAAATTAAAATAACTTCTTCATTTCCTTTAATGGTTGTAAATATTGCTTCAGTGCATGTGAATGTTTTTTAAAGATCTCTGATAATTTTAGATCTGCCAACCACCTTCCTTTTGCTTACTTCTGATGAAACCGCTCCAGTACCATTCCCCAAATAATGACTTACTAAACTGACCTTAAACTTATTTAATGTCTTTGTTTCATGAGTACAACCACCAACGTTTAACTCTTTTGAAAGGGTTAATATTGCATCACACACTTCCATTATGGACATGCACAGAGTGTTTCTTTTAGAATAATTTAAAAAACAGACACCTCAGTCTGGTTCTCTCCTTAGAAAGCAGTAGTCTATAGCATCAAGTACAAAGTGTGATACAGGAACACAACAACATTTCCGTGGGTTATTTAAAGAATATTTTCTGATAGGTTGAGTGCGCACTGAAACTTTCATACATGTCTGGTCATTTCCTTCTCTCTCCTCTCACCTCTTACACTTAGCTATACCCTTTAGTTCTGGCAGTGTTTACTTCACTGAGAAAGTCCAACCTCATTTTTCTATTCCTTCTTTTACTTCTGCTTCTCTGTCTAAAATAGGAAGTTCATTGAAACTTGAATAAGTGACGTCAAAAGGAATTTTCTAAAATCTGTTAGATTTGTTCTTGTTTTTCAGAATAAGGATACTTTAGCTGACACTAAAATTGTCTAAAGTACAGGTTGGATTGAAAAATGACAGATGTATTTACCCAACACACATGTATTAAGGTTACATTTACTAACCTTTGTGTGTTGAGTTTATCTTTACCTGATTATAAATATACGTTCGTAAGAGCAGGTGTAGCTTAAAAAATTAGAATATTTTAAAAAAGTTTGATATTTTTTGTTGCTCATTTCAGAAAACGACACTCGTATATCATATAAAGTCGTTCCACATAAGGTGAAATATTTAAAGTCTTTATTTCTTGTAATTTTGATGATTATGGTTTTAGGATAATAAAAACCCAAAATCCAATAAAATTGGAACATTGTTAAATGTGGTTGGAAAAAGTGTTCCAGATACAGGAATAACTGCAGCCTTGAGAGGATTACCAAGCAAAATCTGCTCAAGAATTTGGGGAGCTTTACAAGGGAAGGACCAAGCCTGGAGTCAGAGCCACGTGAAGATAGTTACAAAGTTGGCCTTCTGAGAAAAGGATAGAAAGAACTGGACCTTTGCTCAGTAATTTAAGTCATATTTTCAGATGAATGTAAATTATTTTAAAGTCAAGGTCCCAGGATCTAGCGGAAAAGTTGAAAAGCACAGAATCCAAGTTTCCTGAAGTCCAAATTGAAGCTTCCAGTCAGAGATGGTTTGTGGTGCCATGTCATCTGCTGGTGTTGGTCCACTGTGTTTTCTGAAGTCTGTAGTCAATGCAGCCATCTTATGGTTCCTTCCGCTGACCAGTTTTATGGAAATGCTGATTTTATTTTCCTGCAGGCCTTGGAACATGTCCACTCTGCCAATGGTGTCAAAAGTTGCTTTAATGATGACGGTGTTTTTGTGCCTGAGTGACTGGCAAACAGTCCTAATTTGAACCGCATAGAGAACCTGTGGGATATTGTCAAGAGGTAAATGAGCGACATCAGACTCAACTGTGCAACCTGAGCTTCCATTACACCTCAGCAGAACCACATTCTGATCGTCTTCATATCAGAAATTTAATTCAACCCCCAACCAAGGCTTGAAGTATTTCATTCACTCTATGTATAATTATTCTACATCAGTTTCACTAATTAGGTACAAAAGAATTGTACTTTTTTGCAATATTCCAAATTGTTGTGGTGTGCCTGTGTTCAATGGGGAAGTCTTTGTTAGACTTCCAATATTGGATCAGGATTAAACCAGTTTTCAAAGGTTTATGTTGATTGACAGATTGGTTCTGTTAATCAATATATTTGTTAGGAACAGGAATTGACCTCTACTGAAGGCCATGAAGTGTTTCTGTAAAACAATAAAAAAAAAAATCAAATAAAATAAACTCTTTCGATACCAATTTCTGATTCATTCCAGTCATGAATGGAATGAGATGGAACTGATGATGACTCAAAACAGGCTGCACCAAATTTACACAACTCTATATGTCGTCATGGAAATGTATTCAATGTTAGCAGCTCATTTTATGGTATCGACAAGCATTCAAAAGGTAAAATTGAATATTCTAAATATTACAAAGTATTTTTTGTTTTCGAAGCAATAGCACACTGGATTACAGTCTGATCAAATCTTCTCCCATTTATTAAACAACCCTATTCTTAGCTGAGGAAATGTGGACACAAAGTTAGAGATACTCTCAATGATCTTTTGTCTATGTTCCTGTGGACTACTTTCCAAAACTCTACACTTTGTACTTGTCCACATCATCCTCAGAAACATAATTTTGGTGAGGCTTGTATCCAGATTCACTCAGATGTAATTTAAAATCATAGTTCAACAAGGGTTGGAAAGTAATTAAGCATTATTATTATTTTTTAGTATATAAAAAAGATTTAAAACCCCACTGTTACTGCATAGACTTAAAAGTTAGCAGCTTTGTAAAGACTAAACCAGACGGCAGGTCCGCTGCGCTTTCCTCTCGTTAACTGTAGCAATAGCATTTATGTACTCATGAATTCCTTTCATCTTCTCTTTGATTCACCTTGTTGTTTCTATAAATGAAGCGTCAAGATAACTAGATTTTTTTTTATTCATTTGCTTTTCAAACTGATTTGTGTCCTGTTAGCAGAAGGGGTGAAATGGCGTGGGAAATGGCAGTTTAAAAAAACCCCCCACCAAAACCACTGTGGTAATGTATGTTATTTCTAGGTGGAGATAGCTTTGTTATTCTAGGCAGCTGTACTCCGTTTGTAGCATACCGTTCTGCTTTCCAAAGAGAGATGGATAGTAGGTCTTATTGTGTTGCTTGTTAAAGCAGGAACTCTCTTAATGATGTCCCTAATTGTGCCTCTTTTATTTATTTTTTTGTCTAACATGTCTCTAACATGTCTCTACATGGAAAAGTCTGATAGAATAGAGAAGGGAGAAATTAAAAAAAAAGAGAGCTTACTGTGATAAAGACTACATGAACTGGATTACTGCTCCCCTTGCTCTACATCAACCCTCACACTCTCCACATGCAGAAGCTCATATTTGCCAAGTGATTTGACTCATAAAGACGATTAAAAAAGCTAAGACCTTACTGGTTTGGTTTTCTGCTAAACTTGCCTCATAACAAGTCATTAGAGAAACTGTTGCTGAATTCCAGGAACTGGTGTGACTTCCATCTGTGTTTTCTGTACTCAGTTTTTGCTAGAGGCTTTTAGAGAAGTCTGAGAAAAAGCCTACACTGCAGGAAATGAGTGCTCTTCTGTCTCGGTTCAAAAATAAATATCGTGAACAGACCGATTTTAATGGCAGTTAGTGTGAAAGTGGAATTTTTAATTTAAAAAAAAGAAAGTTCCCAAAGCGTATTGGGATGTGAGTAGGACGTGACGAGGAACAAAATGAAGTTATGTCCGGTCATAACTTTCAGCTTCAGAGTTTGGAGTTTGTGGCTTGTACTTTCCCCTTTCAAATTTCAGTCACAATGTAACAAGAAGACCCTCAGACACGGCTAGAACACCCGGAGCAAGGCTCATCCTTTAGGAGCTTGGTTGAGTCAGACTGTGAGAGCTGTGAGTGCTGAGCATGTGGTTGCAGTTTTAGTGTTTGCAAGCCTGGGTATTTGGTGTAACTGAATGAGCATCTGTTCATACTTACTTGTTGTAAATACACGTGGTTATCTTTTCTAAATAAATATCTGCCATAAAAGGTCCTTCATAGTTCTCTAGGCTTGTTCAGGGGTCATAATGGCATCGGATCAACTCTCCATTTTGCCGAGTTGTACTGTTATTTTCTATGTACACATTGCTTTTGCATTATTTCCTACTGTGTGGACGGCTTGATTACTATCCATGTACTTTAACCACTGTGGGTTAATTATTACTAGATTGATATTTTCATGAATTTAAGAGATACTCTGCTGACAGAAAGTACTCAGTTGCTTTTGCGTTTTCTTTATATTGTTCTGAAAGACCTAATTAAAAAAAAAATATCTACTCAAAATCGGTGATAATGAAAAGGTAAAAACAGGTTTTCAAAAATTCATAAAGAATATGAACATTTTAGAATAGTAGACACACCTGTTGATTGATAAAATTGCACATTTGATAGCGACAGCAGTCTTACTGGATACGTCTCCACAAGCTGGCCACACCCGTTTTTGGATATTTTCTACCATTCTTCTCTGCAGATCCTATCATGCTCAGTTTGAATGGACTCTTAAAGAGGTTTTCTTGGAGGATTTATCAATATTTGGCTGCTGTCTTCTCACAGCCAATGCAGACCCAGTTCCTGCTGCAACAAAACATCCATGCTGCCACCACCGTCCTTGAAAGATACAGGGTGGTAACCAGATCTATTCTGGTGCTTTTTTTTTTTTTTTTTTTTCCTTCAGATAGCGCTGATCAGGATGTAGCATTATCTCAGCCGATGCCCTCATCCAGGAAGAAGAAGACCAGACCAAATGTAGCTTCCATCTGGATAAAATATAAAGTTAACAGTTGAACAGATAAAGCAAATTGGAGACTAGTAGAAGGAAAAAGTGATAAATTTTTTCCCTTTTAGTATTAACTACTTATAGCTGGTAATTAACCATTTTTTTAAGTGCAACTTGCATTATTTATTTATTTATATTGGTTTTATTCTGTGGAGTTTTATTTATTTAGATATTTTTTAACTTTTAAAAATGTTGGTTTATGGAACAAGAAACACGAAGCAAAATTATGTTTTCATGTTTGTGAAAGGTTAACGGCTGTCAGCACGTTATTCGGTGTTTGGCAATGTAAACGTTTGAGAAGTTGTTGGATCCGTGTCAGAAAATGTAAACAATGCCGATAAGGCTCATCTGCAAACGAGACTTTCCAGCTTCAACAAGCCGTCCATCAGACGGCGTTTGACATGACGGCTCTTATCTCTCCCATCTCTCTTTCCGCTCTTTCAGGCGGAAAGCCCACAGGTGTTCTGTGCGGAGAGCCGTCGGCCCCCCTGAGAAGAGGCGTCAACCAAGGCGCCAATCACGTTGGAGAGGCTGCTGCCACAGTAAGAACCTTATGCCGATCATGAGTTTGTCTGGGGCAAAAAAAAGACAGAAGTGAGAACGTCACAACCACAGAAGGAAGGAAGTAAATTAACCACTCTGATCCTCTTTTACTATAAACTTTAATCTGAAAACCGGGTGGCTTTTCAACTTGGATGACCTGCGAGTGTTGAAGTCAACCAACCAACCAACCAACAGCCCACTAATCTGCCTCAGGGGCAACCAGCCACCGTCAGGATAGGAAAGGCAAATTTTCCAGGGAGAGGAGGAAGGATTAAAACTGTACGAAAGGCAGTTTTAGGAAGTTGGGTGAGGTTCACAATATTCTCTAGCACTTGGATAATGTAAAGAAATAAATCATGCAATCAGTGAAGTAAGAAACACTTTTAGACAGACAGGCCAAGCAGTTGCTAAAGTGTGGTTGTGGCCATAAAGAACCACAGGTTCTCAGCTGAACAGCACAATCTACTGTAAAACTCCTTCGTTTCCAGACTGCATGAGTTGACACTCTGGAGAGGCCTGCTCGTCTGAGGGAGAAAACTGAACAAGCAACTCACTAAACTTAGCATAAAGTTGAAGGGGCCCCAATTATACAGATGGGTGCAGACAGTGAAACAGGCTGCAATCACATGGACGATGCAAACTCCAAAGCACACAAACGCAAAAAAAAACAACAACAAATATAACACAAATATAACATTTTCTTTGATAGCAAACAAAGAAAATGCTGCAATCATAGAAAAATGAAGCAAAAACCTACAATCAACAAAAAAGAAGAAAATGGTGCAACTAAAAGAAAAAGAAGCAAAATGCTGCAATAGCAAAAACTGAAATCCTGCAAACTTTAGAGATAAATGCTATGGGGATAAAAGATAAAAAAAAGATAAATGCTATGGGGATTAAAGATAAAAAAAAGATAAATGCTATAGGGAGCTTGGAATAAATATTCTACTGTTCTACAATATTGGTAAAGACAACGTGTTTGAAGAAGACATGAAGTATAACACATCTTTTATTTCTTCCTCCAGTTTTCTTCTGCTTTTACTGCTTCTTGTATTTGCCGTCTTTCTGCTAATTGCAGCATTTTCCTTTTAGATTTTATTTCCTGCGGTTGCAACATTTTATCTGTGGTTGCAGAATTTTGTTTGTTGTTTGCTTAATGCGGTTGCAGCATTTCTTTGGTTTGCATTTGTTTTGTTGATCTCAGGGTTTTGCTTCTATTGTCTTTCAGTGCAACATATTTTGTTTGCAGCATTTTTTTGTGGCATTTGTTTTTTTATTGTGTGTGTTTGTTTGGTTTGGACTTTGCAACATGTTCTACGTATTCTTAGCGCCAACATCTCATGGACTTTGAACTAAATGTAGCTGTAAACTCTTTTATTGGCCTATTGATTCATATGTAACAGAAAAAACAAACTTTGGATCTCCAGTACAAAAGCAATGTGTTTTAAACCTGTAGGACATCAGCACCATGTCATGCCATGATCTGTTAATGTTGGTGGTTTATGTTACTACAAAATTGAATGTGACTGATGCAAACTTGAACAGGGCTTTTCAAAGTGTGAGGCGCCTCAGCGGTAGCACCAAAGGGGGGGTGATATGAGGATCAAAAACAAAAGAAGCGGAAAAAGTAACTGCAAGCATTTAGCCAACTTCACCAAACCTATGCCAGAGACAAAATTGATAGATTTTTAGTACCTAAAGCGGCTGGGAGTAAGGAGACAGTTTAGATTAAAAAAAAAAAAAAAAAGATGGAAGTATGACCATGATCATTTAAACTATGTATTTTCATGGGCTGGATCTGAAGATGCTCCACTGCCACGGTGTTGTCAGCAAAGATCCTGGATTAAATTTTTTTCACAGGAGGATAAATGAACTCCGGCCTCAACAGAAAGTACCTCATACTTTCAGCGCTGTAAATGAAATTGCAACTGAAGCAACAAATAACGTGTAGCTAAAGCGGGTAAACCCCACAACATTAGTGAAACATGTATGGAAACAGCAATGACACAGCAAAAAAATGTCCAGAAATCGTTGCGATAGTGTGTGTGGTTGGCCTGATCAATGGGGGCAGTTGTCTATTTGCTCTCTCAGACTTTGAAAAACCCCCTTTCTCATTGACACATTAATTGATGCATAAGGTCATATGAACTTTCACATTCAGACAGAAAACAATGAAACTGCAAAAAGGATCCACGGCTACTTTCATACTTGGTGACATCTAAAACGGGAACTGTCATTGTTATCTAAAACAAAACGTTCATGGTGACAGGTGTATTGTTGTAGTTGTAGTAGTAGTATTGGTAGTTTTCTCACACTGTGGATTGCAATAACCATGACCGTTAAGACATTAAAAATTGCTGCCAAAAAACACAGCTTGGTAAATGATTATTTTAGACCTTATGAATAAATTTGCGATGAGTGTACTGAAAAAAGTATTTTATATTCTTTTTAACATAACAGCAGTAAAATATTTTTCACTTCATTTCTAAAAGTTTACCTCTGCATGGGACATCTGCAGGTTGAGTATTCGTCTCTGTGGCTTTAAGACACAAAGGTTTTGTAAAAATAGGCTATAGGAAACGTTAAAAAGTCCATTTTTAAGCATTATTATCAAGTAGAGTTCATATATTTCACTGACTGTGATATTCTGCTTAAAACTAAGCATGCAAAAACCAGGCTCTTTAGTTTCATCTTTAATGTGACACGTTTAATTCGACTGATGCAACTAAAGAAAAGGCGCGCCAGAGCAGCAAGCTGTCAGTCTCATGTTTCAGTATAGGACAAAGTTTTCTTTATTGTTGCTCAGTGTTGTTTGTGGCAGACATGTATTGTGGTCCTAAAGGTTTTATCGCACCATAACACAGTTGGAAGCTTATGCTGTTTTTTTTTTTTAATTGGTGCTCTAATTTTTCATTTTAGCCCCTGTAGTAAAATAGCCATATCATCAGGATATCGTATGGAAACCCGACTATCAGAGCTTTGGTTTACCCAACATGTTTGTAGAGATTGAATAGATGTGGAAAGCCCCAAAGAACTAATCCTATTATTTCCTTTTTATTTTGAGAGTGAGTGTAGTAGTTTTTCCAGTTTGGTGTCTACTTTGTAAATCCCTTATGTTTACAGAGGCACTGCCCAGGTACAGAAAGCATGCGTGATAACCCTAGACAATTTCAACGAAACTGGGAGTTGAACAGAATGAAGAGATTTAGGGTGACAGACTACTAGTATTTATTAATGAAGTCGTACTTAAAGTGATGTGATTCTCTCTGCTACTAATGGCATTAGCTAAAGGGTGCTAACATCAGAAAAGCCTTACTTGAACAGCTGAAGTTTATTTCTGCTTAATCAGATTGACGGTTGATTCAATAAAGAAGACAGAACCTGAATCAAAAGGTGCTTCAACAAAGTATCAGTTTTAAAGTTTACATTCATGTAACATCAGGTTATCGCAGCTTTTTATTTCTTCAGATTTCCAACCTGATAGATTATTTCATTTTTAGCTCAACTGTACAGAGTAGATGTTCAGTTACACTTTATGTTGCTAAATTAACAGCATTACACGAAGTAAAATACTACTTTACAAACCTTTTTATTACCAAAAAATGAATAGACTGAAGCAAAGGCATATGCTTGCCTACCCCACCTCAAATTAGAGGTGGAAAAATATGTCAAACGTTTAATGTCAATTAATAAACTTGACATTTTAAGAGACGTTTACACTTTTGAGATCCACTGTAGGCGGGTCTTTGACATTTCCATCTTAACGTACTTAAAGAACAGGCTTGCACTAATGACGTGTCGGTTTTTTACGTCAGTTCGTTCAGGGGAATTATTTGTAGACTGGAAAAAACACAGAGGTGTCACAGTGTATACAGCTTTCTCAGGCCTGTTGCTTTTTTTAGCAGCTGAGGGCTGCTAAAAAAAAAAAAAAAGGTAAAAAAAAAAATATGCTAACCTCTTATCTCTCTCTGTCTCGTCTTTTTTTAGGATGGAGAAAATTCTGTGTGTGATAATGGTAAGCAGGTTCTTTCCTCATTCCATTCTGTAACGTCCACTTCATGTAAGACCTTGTGGATTTTCACAGCTTGATTGCTAAAGATCGGCTTTAAGCACATCAATCAGTGCTTTTTAAAAAATAAGCAAGGGATTTTCTTTCCCAGAGATTGCAAAGAAATAATTCAAGTTAGTTCAGTCTTAAGAGGCGTTAAATAGGAGAGGCATGTCTAGATTTTCACGAAGGTGATTTTACGAGAATGATCAGATAGAACCAGGGGGTAATCCAGAAGGGTGTGTTCGGCGTGGCCAGGTTAAAGGTGTTACTGTCTTGTTTTCTTTCTGCAAACGTGACGCGTCTGTCCATTTCCACAAAACATGGCTGCAGAACCAAATCCGGCTCCGGAGCCGCAGGAGGAGCCCCCGCAGGCTGAGGAGCCCGCCGCAGGTGGACCGCCTGGCCGCCGAAATCCCCCGGGGGGCAAGTCCAGCCTCATCCTGGGTTAAACGCCACACAACTTCTCCTTCTTACCTCCTCTCATCCCTGAACTCATCTTTTTTGTTTTCTCTCCAAAAACAAAAATCGGCTCATATTTCAGGAAGCGTCTAAAGTCCAACAGACCCACCTTCTCCATATCCCCAAGTGCATTGTTTTGATACCTGTTTTTGGAAAGCTGTTTTTGTACTGTTTTTATTGTTTATTTTAACAGAAGCACTTTATGTACTCCTATTTTTTACGGTTGGAAATCGGCCTTTGCCCCTGAAATTCGTGCGGCCATGCAGGGTGCGAGGATCACACTGCTTACAGCAACAGCCCATCGTAAAACTCTAATGTTACTTCAGCAGCACAAGCTCTGGGCGATTCGATCATATGTTTGAACACCGTAACTGCTGTTTGTACCGTTTTATTGTTTTTGTTTCTCCTACCTTGCATGCTTGTCTGGTCTGTATGAATGTGAGGAAAAACTTTACTGTGAAGATTTTTTAAATTGATTTCACCTCTTAAGTTTTTTTTTTTAATTACAATAATTTGTTGTATGGTTGTTGCATGAAGTTGAAGTCTTTGTACTGAAAATAGTATTGATACCACACTGAAGCCACATAAATTTTGCTCTAAAAGACGGAGGTACTTTTCATCCCACGTATGAAAACAGATTTTCTTTCCATTAAAATTGCAGCCACTAACCCTCGATGATTGAAGCCCCACCGCCTCATGTTTCACACGTAAGTTCACTCTGAGCTGTGCCACACCGCGACTTACCTGAAACACCCAGATTTGTTGATGTTCTTGGTCCTGACTTCTAAGTGTATCTTAGATTTGAAAAGTGACCTTATGACAGCCCGGCCTTTCTTTCACCCGTTTACCCTGACATATTTCATCATTCCTGCTCAGTGGAAGTTTGGAACAATCGTTTTGTACATTTCATGTGACAGTATTCGGTCCGTAGCACCCGTGTGCGTGACCGCTGTGTCCACCAGCTGTCATCGAAGAAGGGAAAAAAAAAAAAAAAGAAAAAGAAAATTAACCAAACATTTTAGATACATGATGTTTTTTCTCCTGTGGTGTGTTTTCTTTAAGCATTTCTTATGTGAGACATGTCTGTTTGCATCCTTAAAGTGGTCATGCTGGATGTAAGTCACTGCAGAAATCTGAAATGAAGAAATGGCACAAGTGGAACTGAACATTAAAGATCAGTTTTGACCGTGAACTGGACCAGCTGTGTGTTTCTGTCTGTTCAAGGGATTCTGCTCATGGTTTGGTTACAAATAGATTATGTCCAATCAGGGAGATCTTTGTTCTCCTTTTTTGTGGTGGATTTACAGAAAGCCCAAAAAAAAAAAAAAAATCTACATTAATGACAAGCAGGCACAGTCTGAAAGTGGAGAAAACTTCCTTCGTTTGGTGTAAACAGTTGAAACTAGATACTTTTCACTGTTTTAAGTTAAATCAGATGAAACCTCTCTTGTTTTAGGTCAATTAGGATCGTCAAAATGATTTATATTTGCTAAGTGCCACAATAAAGAGAGAAAGAATAGAGATTAATTTATGAATGTCTTCAAATTGAGAAGCTTACATAAAAAATAATTAGGATCTCTTTAAACAATGAGAGACAATATAAAATAAAGCCGAGACATTAATGTCCTAGCTTTAGAAACCACTAAATAACTGACACATTTGAGTTAATTGGGGGAAGACCTGTGGATGTACTTTAAGGTCACAACTGGAACACACTGGATTGAAAGGTGGGCTTGACAAAAACACTGCATGTTAAAGAAAACTGCACTCATACTGCCTCTAAAAAGAGAAGAATTAAGAATGTCAGGGATTTTTTTTTTATATAAACTGGATGGTCTTCTTTTCATTCCAGTCTAAAACTGCTGTCATGTTCAGCCATTCCTAAGAAGATGAGGAAGGTGAGGTAAAATGTTGCCAAACTTGGTTCCATTGTATCTCGCCTGTACTCAAAATAACTAGAGCTTTTGTTTCACTGCATCTAGATTACCGATTACGGTAATGAATTTTACGTGTGCCAAACCCAGAATCTCCCCAGACCGGTTGCAGGTTTTTCAGAATTCATCTGCCGAGCTTCTGTCAAAATGTAGCTTACAATGTTGGCTTCCTGTGTGTTTTGTTGTGTGTTTCAAAGATTCTTGTTCTGATTTGGACTCGAAGTCTCGGAGATCAGCAGGCACTGGGTTATAATGGAGGACCTCCGTTTAGTTCCCTGAGGGCCACACTAAACTGAAAACAAAAGGAAACTGAACCTTTTCTGAATCAGAGGCTCCAGGACTCTGGATCTCTCTTCTTTGAACTCAGGGAGCAGCAGAGATCACTCTGTGGGAGAAATGTGCTACTTAAAATCGTTTTGTACATTTTTGCACAAAAAAAACAAAACACCCAGCTGTTTTCTCCTATTAAGTTGACTTAGTTGATGATAAGTTGACTTAATAACCTCTTGATTATTAATTCTTTACGTAAGAATAATTTTTTATGTAAGTAATGCCAGCCAAGCCCAGTCCCTCTCCTTGCAACCCAAGCGGCGCACCATCACTTTGGTCTGCTGGTCTTACTGCACTGTACAATGACTGCTGGAAAAGACAAGTGTTTTGTTCTTGGCTTACCATTCAGAAACTGCATTCTTTGTTTCTTCGTCTGGGTCTGAGTGTTGTGCAAGTGCGCATCAGTTTGCAGCCATTTTCCCATGTGTAAAGTGCGAGTGTATAAGAAAAAGTGTGAATGTAAATGTTGAGTAAGGGAGCTTATTTGGAAATATAAAGTGACAAGAAGCTTTATCTGAAACAGCTCATTCTGAAAGGAGTTCAAGATACAGTTGAGCAAAGTCAAATCTCATTATGTGAGTGATTTGTTGCAAAAAATGTAATGAAACATGTTTTTTTTTATAACTCACAAACCTATCCTAACTTTTTTAAAGAAGCATAATAGGTCCCTTTAGTCTGTCCAGATAAATTGGTTTATTGTCACTGCCCCCCCCCAACCCCCCCCTTGACAGCACCTGGTGGTGACGCCAGTGTGGACAGCCCTGTTTATGTAAACATATATTCAAGCAAATATTTTCCATCTGCTGTATTTTATTATATTATGGGATGGAAACAAGCCAAGCCCCATTTGACATTACTCATACTGAAAGTGAAACTAAGAACAACATAGGCTACGAGCTGCAGCTGCCGTGTCATTATCATTCATGTAGAACTCACGGGTTGACAGAGGAGCTTGTGGTAAGTTTATTAGATTATATATATTGTTTTTTGAATGATACACCGCTGTGGTATGTGTTATACGGTCCATACGTTTGACTCCACGCTGAGGCACACAGTGTGAGGTGGCTGAAGTGTCGAGGGAAAGAAAAGACGCTGTAAACAGCGTGTCGTTAAGTGCAGTCCACGTCTTTAACCGTCGGGGATTTTATTTCGAGCTTGAGAGTGAAACTCTTGACTTCGTGTCACCGAAGCCCTACACAAGCCGTACGTTTTTACATTCGCTTTTTATTCTGGTTAATAAAAATTCGGCCTGTCGACTGAAAACTCCGTTTCGGTTTTTCTTTTGATATATAGTGACTAGATTTTAAGTCGGTCACTTGTCTGAAGGCGCCATTTATAAGCGTGTACACATTTTGTTAAACAAAAGGGCTCCTATTCTCAGTTTTAAATGTATTCAAATGTCACATTCAAATGTTGAACGCTTTGCATCGACTGCTGGTTAGAGCTGTGTCGTTTGTAATGTGGAAACCTTATTCTTGTCAGCCTTTAAATGCCAACGAAAAAGAAACAAAATCATGATACAGGTTGAATAAATACAGCTTATCTTTGCGCATGTCACTTATTTTACAGTAAAATGTAGGTTTCGATTCACATTTTAATAAAGTAAACCAAAAAAAAAAAAAAATCCATTTTACTCTTTTTAGTTATAGTTCACCTTTCTAGAGCAATTACAGCATTTAGATTACAATTTTGTAATTAGCATAAATGCAATAAAGAGAAAAAAAGGCAAATGTTTTGTTATACCATTCTCTGATCTCTGTTCCGTGTTGTGGAATTGAAAGCTAACTTTAGAAACATTTTTCCATCCTGGGAAAAAAAAACAAACTACTTTACATGTACAACACTCTATTTGTTGTTGATATACTTACATAAAAACAACTTCGTTAGTGCGTCACAGAGTACTACCTGCAGGACAGCCAGGTATCTACCTGCCTGCAGGTGGCGTCCCAGGTTCCCAGGCTATCAGTTTGTTGCTCCAGAGTTTTTAAGCAGATGGACTGAAATACAAGGGGTCCTACATTTTGATAGCAATGATTTGTTAGTTTTTTTAAAATAAAGAAATATTTTTTTCTGATTTGTTCAATTTTGTAATTTTAGTTACTTCAAGTACATTGCAGTCTAGTAGAAACGGTCTATGAATGATAATCAGAAAAGTCAAATAGGGACATACTACATAGCTTTTAATTGGTGACATATATATTTCAGTCTAGCTACATGTTTCCTACCTGAATGGGAGAAAATATTTCATTTTTTATTTGCCTAAGGATTATTTAAATTATAAGAAAGTGTTGAGGAAATCTATCATAATTCAGGTTTTTTTTCCTTATTTAAATTTTTATTAAAGCTTATATGACTTTTTGACTGCATTTCCAATTTAAATCTGTTAATAATAATAAGGCAAACTTCTGTTTTGTTGGTTTTCCAGTTTCATCTGACCATGTAAAAATCGTTTTGCACCGTTTCTAGATGCTTCTGGTTCTTTGTGTAAAATGGTTCCGTCCCTCGGTGCCAAAACAGTCGGCACTGTTGTTGTTGTCTGTCTTGTCTGGTTCTGTTGTAGACCGACATTTTCTGCAGGGTGCAATACATCTCTCGTCTGATAGTCATGCAATAATTAGGTGAAGAAAACTGAAGGATTGAGGATGTAATTTGGCCGCCATTTCTCTTAAATTAAAGATACTATATGAAACATGTTCTAGTAGTAGGTAGGACTCCCAGGGTTAAAAGTATAGCCATTCTTTGTGCTGCAGTGAGATCATTTGTTTTTACAAACTCCATGGTGTGAACGACCTCCTGATCATGTGGGAAAGAAATCAGATTACTCCAAACAGACAATGGGGATTGTGCAGATGTATGTTCTCAAGAGATTGCTCCAATCTTGACATGTCCCATGCACACAGCTGCAGCGTCTGGAGTTTCCTCATTCAAATATCACTCCTTATAAAAGAGGCTGCTCATTCTTGACCTCTTAACTTGGCGAGGCCAGTGTTCTCACACTCTGGTCTCCGAAGAATTACAATATGCTTGTGGATACTTTTGCTTACATGGAGGGGCCTGTCTCTGCTCCATGTGTGCTGGTGGGACATTGACGCATAACGCTAAACAGAAACATTTCACCACTGAGATGTGAGGACAAGAGGGTGCTTAATTTTAATGGTTCTCATTAAGAGCAAAAATGCTGAGTTGCCTCTGGTTGCTGAAATGCTGATATTGCCTCCTTGATTGTGTGGTTTCTGTCCTCCCTTTACAACAAGATCTGCAGTTTGTGATGCGGACTGTTTTTCTATGTAGCTGTGATCTTTTCGGAGGGTTAAATTGAGTCGTGTGACGTTGACATGTTAAAATGTAAATCTGCATGCACAGAAATGAGTTCCAGGATCAAATCCAGCCAGTAGAAATTAAAAAAAAAAAATTCCTCCCCACATACACACCCTGTTTAATTAAACTCGTGAGGATGGGAAAATTCAAGAGAACTTTCTCTTTCAGAATGACTGTACTAACGGATGAACTTGTCAGATAAAATGACCTTGTTTATGCAGAGCTGGTCAGACTGGTTCATATAGAACTTGATAGGGAAGGTTATTTACTGTATGAATCTTTTGTCAAAGCATATTTTTTGTTGAACCTGAGTTTAAAACTGACGAGGGACACTATGAAGTCCAAATCCTGCCTGACCGTGCATTTCTCAGCGAGGCACTGCAAATTTGACCCAGTTCTGGAACTTCTTTTCTTTTTGTTTGACAGAGAAAATTCTTTTTGAATGTAAAAATAGACATCCTGGCGTTCTTTCTGGTGAATTATGATGTAATGAATGATGATGTTTCTGGAGAAACATCCTCTTTATTTACATCCTTTACTTTCAGAACCCTGTATTTTTATGCGAAGTAGGAAGTTTTGTGTTTCTGGTGTGAAGTGTGTTAGGACTTCATAAGAATTTCTCCTGGTGTCTTCGTTCAGTAAAGTTCCAGATTAGTTTAATCTCAGTCACTGAGTCTAATCTGAGACAGACCAAGTGGACTTCTACCTTACTGGAACCGCTTCAGTTTAAAAACATCAGGGCTGTTAATGCTGACACTGTGTTATAAAACTATTGGTTGGTTGTTTTTTGCTTTTTTTTTTTTTTTACAGAGAAGCTTATAATTATTTACAAAGGGAATGAAGATAGAAGACAGTGCGCTGCCATTGATTTCCTGTGTGAAACATACAGAGAACTGAACATGTAGCTTTTCAGGTCACGGTTTGCAGTAAAAGTATAAAATCTTATTCAGCGCTATAAGGGAGTGCTATTTTACAAGTATTGATATTATTTTATTCCACATGTCAAAGTTCCTCTGACTGAAAATACTTTGCATGTTCTATTCTAAGCACGTTTCACACAGTAATATAAACTGCTAGCTGCATTTCCAGTCTAGCTACTGTTGTGACAGTGGTTTAACCACTTCTCACCTTACTTCATAAACCCTGAACTGTTTCTTCAATAGTCTTCATCAGATATATTTAGCTGTGTGGGACTCCTATAGAGTTGGCTTCATCAAGCTATCTGATACTTAGTTCTGTAAACACTTGACCTGAGAGTCATATTTTCTGTTTGTTTCTGTCAGGATCATTGAATTACAGTCACCAAAGTGCATGGTGATAAAAAACCAGCTGAGTCCCATAATTTTATAACAGTAAACAACAATAAAAGTCAGGCGCATCTTCTAATTCGCTTACAGAATCTCTCTCCTCCATCTTACGACAACCCATTCCTTCAACTCATGGTTTGTCTCAGAGGGACAAAAAAAAAATGCGGTCCATGAATCGATGGATATCAATGGCGCCTTGGTATGTGATAAAGAGATGTTTGAGGAAAAACAACTGTGAAAACAAAGAACTGAAGAAGGGCTTGCGACTTGGCCTGTTGATGCTTGTTGGAAGACGTTTGGAGGGCAGGATTTGTCCTTGCTTTTGAGAAAATTAAACCCTTCACAAAAGACTCATGTTGGTATAAAACGAAAAAAATGTTCCTTTGCTTCACATTGGTCCAGTAACTCTTTATGGGAGATGAAAGGTAGCTCTTGCCACCATTCAAGCAAGTTCCTTCATGGAAATCGGGAAGCAAATCTCAAAAGCTTTTGGTTTATTTCATTTACGGGTGGGAAATGTCAGTCATCTGGAGTCGCCTTTATTGATAGTCATAACTCGGTGACAAAGTGCAGATCTGAGTTTTGATAATAGATTTACCTATGTGAGGTCTCAAAGAAACATATCTGGAACACTTTTTTTTTTAAATTACAGATTTCACTTAATAAGTCGCAAGTCACAATGTTTTTTTGTACATATTGAGAGGTTTGTTTTTCTCTCCTTGAGGTTAGTTAAATCAGTCATGTTATCAAAAACACTGTAATCTTGTCTAAAATCTTAAGAAGAATTTTTTCCAGTTATTTTTTTTTCCTTTCAGTTTTAAGATTTATCGTTCTCATGAAATCATGAAAGGTTGTGCCAGTATGAAACTCTCATGGTTTGGTGACCTTGTTAAAAATATGATTGTATCATTCACACCAAAATGATGTTGGGATTTTATTGACCTACATGAAGCGATCAGATCGGATCCCTAATCACTGCTCGTTCTGGAGACACTTCCAAATCGCAACGCCTTGCAATAAACTCAGAGTTGATCAGATAAGAACTGACTTCACCATAAAGCAAAACCTAAGTCCTAAAACCTTGCCTGTGGAGATCCGCGTCCGACAGAGACATCCGCGTGAATTGTTCCCCTCCTGGTCTGTTGGATGGAGAAAGGACTTTTACAACTTTTGAAGAGAACATTTAAAGAGTAGCTACTTGTGTGTCTGGCACTCTAAAGTTCTGGAACCTCTGCCCAAGCCGACTGTTTCAGAGGTCTAATCTTCTCCTGGACCGGTAACCAGACGTTTTGAATCTGAGTGAGTCTGAGCAACTCACAAAAATAAGGTCAGGTTTTCCAATTTAGCTTGGGCTAAAAAAAGACAATATTGTCTCGTTTTTTTCACATGTTGTCAATGCCTCTTGCTGAAGTGTGCTGATGTACGGTGTCATGATTATTATTATCTTTGTGACTGCTTTTGCTGATCATATGCTGTGATACGTTGAAGGGATTTGCATCTTGAGCAGAGTTTAAAAACGTAATCATCTCTGCACCGTTTCTCCTGTCTTCCTTTGCCCCCTTTTTCACTGTTATTATTATTTTCTACATTCTCATGCAGTGCCAAAAGCCACAATCCTTGGTTTAATTTTCCATTAGGCCTGGGCACATGGCTCCTTGTTTCAAAGTATTGGGTAGCTAATTAGGAGAGCCTTTACCTGCTTTAAGTTTCCTTTACCTCATCTCTTTCTCAGCAGGGGCACACACTGATTTCTTGTAGTGTGCTTTCTGCAGATGTTTTCCCTTTTTCTTTTCTTTCTTGTTTTAATTAGTCAATTAGTTTTGAAGTTATTTGTCAGTATTCCATTTCATTTGGTCATAGTTTGTTCATTAATCTGATTTCATCTCCACTTTATCATTCCATATAAGCAATTTCTTGTTGTCTTTTCCATCAATAGTTACACTGCAAGCGAAGTAAGTTATTTACGGGATAGTTCAGCTTTAAAGTTGGACTATTTTGTCAATAAATTCTCAGACTTAATTTGAAATAAGCGTGGCAGTGATCATTCCTTGTTGTGTGAAGAGTTTCTTCTGCCGGTAGTCTGAATTCACTCCTTCACGAGAAACTGAGAAGTTTAACTAAAGACACTTTATCGTTAATAATAATTAATCAATTATAAGTGATTCATTATAACAGTCAATAATTACTTAAACCAAACATTCATGGAAATTATGATTCCCAACGATGGAAAGCATAAATAAATGTGTAACATGACCTCGTTGCTGTTATTTGAAAAGGGCAAGTGAAAAATTAATCCTTCAGCAGCAAAAATAATGTATCAGTTTTAGTTGTCATAACACTTAACTGAGTGTAAAAAAAGTGATATCAGTATGTTAATATGCTGGGCTATCTGCTGATCTATATTCCACTTGTAGTTTGCCAACTGTAGTTATCTCAAAAAGAGTGATGGGTGGCCCTGCTATAAATCAAGTCAAGTTTATTTGTATCGCACATTTCAGCAAGAAGACAAGTCAAAGTGCGCTACATGGTAAAAAAAAAAAAGAAACATTACATTACAGTGGCAGAAAAAAAGAGAGATAATCAAAAATTGTCTTCCAGATTGGAATAAATCTCTGTTCCACTTTCCACAATCAAAGGTCACTCTAAACAAGCGTTTCAGCATTTATTTGGAAATTTGTTTCATAAAAACTGAAGGCTGCTGCTCCATGTTTGATTCTGGTTCTGGGGTGCAGAGTAGACTTCAACCAGAAGAGCAGAGAGGTCTGGAAGGTTGATGTAACAAAAACAACAGGCCTTTAGTGTGGTTTGGTGCTAAACCATTCAGTGATTTAGAAACAAACAAAAATAATTTTAAAGTCTATCTGAGCTACAGGAAGTCAGGGTAACAACTTGGTCTGATTAGCTCTTTTCTAGCGTTAGTGAGTCAAGTCCATTTCTCTTTTTCTTGTAAGTGAGACAAAAGTATGGTAGCAGTCTTTCTGTCTGCTGTCCAGCAGTGCACAGCAACAGCTTGGAGATGAGAAACACTGTTTTACTTTGCCTCATAAAACCTGAAAATACGACAGTCATTCCTTCACCCCAGTAAGATAAATAGCTTGAGTGGAAATTTTCGTGGTTTTGAAACCGTATTTCTGAACATCTTGGCGTTGCGTCTCCTGAGTTGGTCAGCTTCATTACTTTCCTTAGTCACAAAATTTTTTACAATCCGTAGACATGAGCTATAGACTTATTTAGTCCTAATCTTGTCTTCGTGCCCTTTATGTGGTGAGGTCAACAGATGTCTGACAGGTGCCTTTTCACACCCTTTGCACATTCAATTCTCAGCTTCATTAATCTTTAACAGTGAACTTAATTGATTTGGTTATTTTATTTCAGGTAAAAAGACATGGCCTCCCGTGCTCCCCTCTTCCTTTTGGTCATTTGCTTCTGTTGCTGTTCAGGACATGCAAAATGTAAGTTTAAGCAAATGAAACATTAATTTGTTTAACAGAGATTTAAAAATACTTCAGAAATGCTTCAGATGATTGATTTAACCTTCTGTTTCATTTTTGCTTTTTCCTGTCTACAGCCTTCGTCGAGGTGGTATGTGATAAAACAATAACTGGTCGGGTCGCCCATCAGTCTATGCTGACCTGCAAGGTTGAAACCACGCAAGAAATACCCGATTTAACAATCACTGTGGTTGTCTGGAAAAAGCAAGGAGATGATGATCCGTTCCTGTCAGCTCTTGATAGGAGACCTGGCAAAAAAAATAAATTCCCCCCCGGCTACAAGGTTACCTTGAACGACAGGACCGTATCTTTGGTCATCACCGACCCTAAAGTGAAAGACGAGGGAGTCTATAGCTGCCTGGTGATGACAGACAGTGGTAACGCCGAAACGACAACACACTTCAAAGTGACAGGTGACAATAACAGATTACTGTTTTAAGAAGCAAATCCAGGTATTTAAAAAAAAAAAATCTGAATATCGTTGCGACACTGAATCTCATACTTTATATAAACTCATTACAAACAGAGTGAAATATTTCAAGCCTTTATTCCTTCTAATTTTGATAATTATGTTTTACAGATAAAAAGCCAAACTGTAGTGTCTCAGAAAATTGGAATATTTGGAGAAAGTTCAATGTTTGAAACTTTTAGAAAAAACCCTAATCAGCAAAATCACTCAAAACATCCACAAAGCCTTTAAATGTTTTCCCACTTTAGGTCAGTACTCTGTCATGGGGAATACTGCTGACTGGACAAACGTCCAGAGGACAGTTAATGACACCCTCCACACAGAGGTTAACCCACAAAAGGCCATAGCTAAAGAAGCTGTTGTTTTCCAGAGTTCCTTAGTCAAGCATATTCCTGGTTACCAAAAGTTAAGTAGAAGTAAAAATGCATTTGGAAACAGTCCCATTCACAAATTTGGGGAAGTGGACTGAGGCTGGAGTCAGCACATCCAGCTCAGCTAGTATCGAAAAATCTTCTAAATTGGCTACAAATGTGGCATATCTTGTGTCAGGCCACTCCTGAACCAAAGACACAAGAGGCGACATTAGAAACGTCTAATCTGGGCTAAGAAGAAGAAAACTGGACTGTTGCTCTGTGGTCTAAAGACCTCTTTTCAGACAGAAATAAATGTAGCATTTCATTTGGAAATCAAGATCCCAGAGTTTGGAGAACAAGTGGAGAGATAAAGATTTCACTGTTGTTGAAGTCCAGCGTAAAGTTTGTAGATGGACGAAAACCCGCTGTTCGTCCTGCTTCACTGGATATGTGTTATTGTTCTTGATTGGCCCAAAAACTGGCCTGACCTGAACCCTGTGGAGAACCAGTGGGTGTAGTCAAGTGAGCTGCATTGTTGGGCTTACCTTACACCTACGCAATGCCACAGGCTGATCTTTTCCATGCCATGCCGCAATGACGCAGTAGTTCATGCAAAAGGAGGCCCAACCAAGCATTAAGTGCATAGAAATAAAGTTTCTATTCAGAAACCTGGATTTTTTGATATTATACAATATTCAAATTTTCTGATCCACACTATTTTTGTTTAATTTTCTGTCAGCCAAAATACTCAAAAGTGCAAGCGCAAAAAGCTTTCAAAAAGTTAGCTCTTTGTGTTATTAATCCACATGAGATTTACTTTCTGATATTAATGACAAAATATTTTGAACTTTTTTTTTTTTTACAAAATTCTGATTTTTTTTAGATATACCTGTACTTTTGTATATCATTAGTTATTTTTGAATAATTCTCTTCAGTCCTTTGGCTCTCTAGTTGAGCTAGTAGTAATAATTGTAAAGCTCTGATAACTTGTCGAAAATGATCGTACTCAAATGTCATCCAGATTCTATCAATCCTATTTGACTGGGCTATCAGTGTTCAATGTCATTTTTGTGTTTTACTTTGCTTTTGCAGCCAAATATGAAGCCCCATCTGTGTACAGCATCGATGAGCAAGTCGTTCCAAATGCTCACAAGTCTCTGATTTGTAAGGCTACTGGTGGCTACCCAGAAGGCAAACTGCGCTGGTTTGATGAAAACAAAACGGAGTGGACAAAAAGCGCAGAGCCACCAATAGTGAACCAAACAGAGGATGGTCTGTTTGAAATCTCCAGCAAGCTGCCTTTGATGAAATTATCCACCTCTGATGAGTACACCTGCGTGGTCTACAATGCCAGCGATGGCAAAGAGGGCTCAGCTACGATAAGAACAGGTAATTTAATTAATGGTATTTTTTGCTACAAACACAGATAAAAACACACAACATCCTCTGCAGGAGCTAAATTATGTACCTTTAGTCACAGGCAGAGCTGTAACGAACACATTTTGGTTAAAGATTGCTCAATCCAGGACTTTATCTTTGGGAGGTTGAGGCAAGGTTTAATGTTCCAACAGAAAACACAACTGTAAAGGAGTTGTAGATCGTCCAAAAACAGTCCTGTAAATGTTCAGCTGCAAAACCAGAAGTTCAGCAAAACAAAACGACTAAAAATGGAGCTCTTACCGTGCTGAATTAGTTTCTCTTTAAAGCCGCAAGATGGTTTCTTTCTGTCCGTATGATTGCTTGTCTCTTCAGACACAAACAAGTAAACAGACATGCGGATACATGTCCTGATCAGGTGTTTCTGCCAATCCAAACTATAAAGATTTGCCACAAAGAAGAAGCAAGACAGCGCATGCCAGATGAGACAGGGTAACACTTTATGGAAAAACTGTTCTATCTCTTCCTAATGGAAAAGCTTTTCTGAATATAGACGCTATCTAAACTGTAATCTAAATTTTTACAGCTGCCACACAACTTGGTATCTGTTCAACTGTCTGAAACGACAGTGCAGCAACAATGCAGCTGTTAGCCGCCATCCATCTGTATTTGTTTCTATTGAAGCAGCACACTCTGTTATGATATGTACTTGAAAGCTTTTACTGTTTTGTGTCATAATACAGACGATCCAGATCCTGATGCTTCCACTCAAAATTCTTCGAAGACATCACTTTCAGCAATAATTGCTCCAGTCTTGGTCGTCGGGTCGCTGATTGTGGGGTTGCTGTTGGCACTGTTAATCTGCAGAAGACGTTCCCAACGTGAGTATATGTTTGATATTTGGATTGAGGTTTGAAATAAAGATAAATGACATCTAAAGAAGCTCAGCTGAGACTTTTACAGTCCTGCTTTTGGGGCAGTGTGTGGGGTATTGGTGGGATGGGTACCTCGTATATGGAGGCTGTTAAGGGTTCCAGTCCTCACCTTGGATCCTTTCCTGCATGTCTTCCCCCAGTTTGTCTGTGTCTGTCTCCTGTCTGATTATTGTGAATAAAAACAACCATTTCCACTAAACCTTAAATCAGGAAAGGGGAAAAGAAAACTTCAGCAGTAGATGACATGTCTGGCTTCATTTAAAGATAAAAAAACACATATCTAAAATATTTATATATATTATAATTGAGGTTTAGTTTTTACATACCCTTTACAGTCTTTACAGCCTTACAAATCTCCTCCTTTTTTCCATGACTGCTAAAGTTTCATCAATTCTCCCACAGATGTTGCTTAAGATCTAAGAGGCAAACCTCAGAATGTCGTCTGACAACTGTAGCAATTAATTTGGTTGAGTTTCTTTGAAGTCTGTTCAGTTGAAACAGCATTGCCAGTTCACATATGAGTTATTTGGAACAGAGTTTACTGGAACTCTTTTTTATTTATTGAAACATATTTTTGAGTATTCGTTGTCACAGTTTTAACTTAAGTTTACCATATACCTTGTACTCACTATCTTAATACAATTGGCAATTTTTAAACATACCAATAATATGACATTGGTAGCAGCTTAAAAGACAAGTCCAGAGGTCATTCTGGCCACTTTATTTTCTTGTGCCAACTTATTTAACAAGAGTCTGTTAAAATAGACAATCGTAGTTCAGAGTCAAAGAGGTTACGTTACTGGGCCTGATACAATTGCAGTTAATTTTTATTGCACTCTTTAAAGCCGATGTGCTCAGCAGGGGGTCATATTTCATCACTTCCTTCTCAAAAACAATAAAAGAACTACGAGGAAAGGTTGATTGCAGGAAAGACTTGCATAGCAACTGAAAAGTGACCATTCAGGTTAGGAAAGTACCTCATATTGTCACACAGTATGAAGCAGCTTGAGGGCCAGAAACTTTTCCTGATTTTAAACTTTACTGTAAACATTGTTTTTGTTGTTAAAGGTTGGCTAAAGTTATCAACATGGTAGATAGATTTTGCACTGAGTGTATACCCTCTGTCATATTTTGCCTTTTTTCAAATGTCTGACAGAAAAAAACCGGAGGCCCTCAACCGCTCCTCTTATGGGTACGTCCATCTTTGGACAAACTGTTACAGCTCTTCCTATTCTTTTCCAAATGGGCATAAATGGCTAACACTAAGTTAAAGATGGAGGTCGTTTCTGTACTTATTTCTGATACTTCTGCCAGTTCTTTAAATTAATTTGCATTGAGACCTGTTGAGCCACCAAATGTTGCATGTCGTTAGGGTTCATCTAGTTAATCAATATTGTGAAGATTCGGGATGTTTCCAGTCAAGGTTAAATCATACTTACATTCCAGTCCTGTTGCAGCATGTGAGAACTTTGTGTGAATCATGTGCTCATCATTAACCAGCTATCTCTTCTATCCTTGGACTAAATCCAGCTTTTTTACTTAAACTAATAGTTTGGGACTTTTAAAGTAAGATTCTGCTGAAAGCTATAACAGTCTTATTTTCAGCAGATCACTCAGCTGAAGCTAATGGCTAGTGGCTAAGACTTTATACAGTTTATGCTAACATTGTTTATGCTAACTCTGGTTTTGCTTTGGCATTGGGCAGTTATTTACAAATATCCATTTTTCTGTGTGAAACATGACCTGGGAACAGAACCGCGCCTCCTTTTAGGAGAAAATGTAGGCGCCTGTGGCTTGGATGAATCAATACAATGTCTGGAGTGTTTGGTGCAATACAAGCTAAAGGTTGGGATCAAAAATGTGTTTTGTGAGTTTTAGGTTCTTGGATGTGATGGCAGACAAGTTAAATAACATTTTCTAAAGAACACTTAAGTAGTGTGGAAGAAACGGTTGCAGCCCCTTTACTGTAAAGTGTTTCAATAAAATTTTGCGAATCAGTTACTAGCATCTACGTCATAAAATGGTTGCCTCCTCTTGCATGATATTTGAGCACCTAAAACTTACAAAACAGATTTGTTTTGTTTTAAATACGCAGATATATTTAAAAACAGACTTATTTTTAAATATATTGAGCTCTGTTGCAACAAAAAAAACTCATTCAAACCGTAGCACCTACTTTTCCCTAAAAAAGAGGTACAGCTGTTTGTAGAAGTGAGTCGACATTCATTCCATCTTGTCTCAGACTCTTCTTCTTTTGAATTTTAATTTATTTCATATTGGTGTTACTGCCCCCAACTGGTGCAAAGTTATATGCAGTCTTAAAAAAAACAACAACAAAAAACAGGAAGGAATGTCTGTAGTAATGGTAGCTGAGGGTTAGAGTTATTTACAGGTAAGTTAGTAAGTGCTTAACCTTTACTGTGTATGTCATGATATCCATAAGGACTTTTTCTCCGTGCTCAGGCTTCAGGTGCTGTGGGATCTGTCTGTGTTTGTTTACCTTAAACTTTAAGTGGTTGTGGGTTCACATTTACTTTCTACAGCTGCATATTCTTACAAAATTTCACACTTTCTTTCAGGGACACATAACATGGTTCCCAACACAGATGAAGTAATCGGTAAGCATGCCAATGTTAAAAGAATCCATTGAATGTATTTGGTTTATATCATTTCACACATTTACACTGAATTTAAATAATACTCCTGTCTGCAGATCCACCTCCTCCTTACTGTGAAGAATTCAAAGACAACATGGCCTAAGGTAATACTTAAACTGTAACTGAAAATACAGTTTATTCCTACACAGTTTTTAGTAAATTTCACAAATCTCCTTCTTTTTCTTTGCAGGAAACCCAACGAGCTGCATTTATGTATTCACTTTCTACAAACCTCCAAAATTAGCATTTTCTTCTTTGCTAACCTCCACCTTCATGATACAACTTTCTTTACAATGTAAAACTGTGCATAGTCAGGGATAACTTGTACTGTGATTCACTAGTAAATTCACAATTAATCTGAACATACCAGAAATATTGTTAAAGAGAGATTAAATCAAGTCTGAAAACAGGATGGGCCAGTTGAGTGGAGAAGAAGCTGAAAGGAAGGGGGTACACATTTAGGCCCAGACATGTGAAAACAACACAAAACGGGATACTGTATTGTAGTTATTACAGGAGGTCTCGGTCCAAGCAGAGATGTGGCAGCTGTTCAGGGAAATATGAGAAGACAGACACGTCTGAGTTTAGCCCACATTCAATAGCCTTTGGCAGCTCAGCAGTTTCATCTTTTTTGTGATATTATGTAAGAGCTATGAGGAAAGCACTGAATCAGGTCAGAGGGCAGTTGTGAGTATAACTACTCACAACTATGTATGTGCATTGTACACTCACAATGCTCTGCACATACAGACAGATTATGCGTGTGTGTGTGTGTGTGTTTAGATGAGCAGTCCTTTCAATTTTGTCATTTTATTTCTCTTAAAGATGGAAAACTTTGAAATAAGTTTTTAATTTTTTTTAAGAATGCATCTCTATAGCCAACTGTCCAGCAAAGTTTTCTCTGACGGGAGGTAGTACTTCATTCAGAAACATTAGTCGTGCACTACTAGACAAAAACTGGGTTTGTAACCTGTAAACCAAAGATAATTTCTCTTCTGTGAAATGAATTGTGTCTGCAGCTGCTGCTTCATGTGAACTATTAAACTGTGCCAACACTCTTTCCTGTTCCTTAGAAAAAATGTGTACTATTTCTTTGAAAATGACTGATGTGCTTGTTAAAGTTTTGTGGAGTAAATCACTATTAAATCAAAGTAAAGTCCATGTCAGTCTTTGGTGAAAGCTTGGCTTTTGTTTGTGTGATGTTGTATTTAGTACCAGATTTCATATCCTTTTTCTTTCTCCCGAAAAGATATCACATGATGGCCCATTATCTTTGTAGAAAAAAACAAAAAGCTCTTCCTCCCTAAAGCCAAAAGGATTGTCTTTTGTGCATTAATGTGAAACTGCACTTATGTAACCTTTAATTTGATATCTTTTCTCCATCATTGGTCTGGTTTCATTCTTTTTGCTACATTCTACAAAGAGGATACAGAACCAGTGTTGACTTATTGTACAGATGTTTTTATAGTCAAAGGCAGGATGCAGGAGGTTTGCAGGTCTACTTATGAAAACAGCCCTAGCAGAGGGCTAGGGCTGTTTTACTGATAAACTGCAGGTTTATCAGTAATTTTAAACAGTAATGATTAACACTGTAATGAAAACTACAATAAAAACAATAAAGGTTTCAGGTTTTTATTTAGTTTGGGGTTTTTTTGGCTGGTTTTTCATGTGGGTTGATTTTATATTGTGTTTTCATGACTTTATCCTGTTTATACACCGGGTCAATAATCACAAAGCTCTAACCATTATTTCATCACATGATTTAATATCTACTGTAAAAATGTTTTGAGTGTGATTAAGGTAAAATTAAAACTTTTGTTGATGAAAATGCATATATTTTTTATTTTTATATTGTGCTTTGATGATTTTAGGAAGTTTTATGCAGTTCTCTTTGTATTCAGTTCATTGAGTACTAGCAGGATGTGCTAAAAGTCCCATCTAACTATTATGCTGACAAAGAGCTCTTCATGTGTCCTTCTGTTTTTTCTTTAAACATGTTTTGGTCTGTTTGTGTTATTTTTAATTAAAGTATGTTCCTGGGTTTTCCCAGTGTTCACCAGGGACTCAGAGTTGCCATCTATCTTATCCTGTAATCAGAATGATCCTTTTGGTTTCTCTTCTTTCTTTACTTTCTCTTTCACAGAAAGGGTCTTCATGTGGGTCCCATGCTTGTACAGCTCTCACTGCTTTTTATGTGCAATGCTTTATTTGCTTTATGAGAAATAAAATACTGTTGAGCTTGTCTTATTGGTTTGATTTCAGACACACAAATAAAGGATACCAAGCATAATGTCGAGTCAGCTCAAAATTTAGATATTACCGTTAATCAAAATTTAGAGTCCGGTTGGAGAGACAAAACCAATAAAATGACGTTTTCCAAAGTAAACATAATATTACATCCACATATTACACATGGACACCTTGTTTGGGTCCTGGGCCGCATCGTCTCCTTGTGGCTTCAGAAAGACTAATGACTATATGAACGTGTTTTTCGAACTCACTGTCCTTATGTGACCCGTTTTACAAAAGGTCCTTCTGTTTGTCTAGACGCTACATCACTCATATCAGGAAGACCTCGGCTTCGGCGCGTCACTGAGGCATAAAGATATGACCTGCTTTCAGACTTTACATGAGCAAATCATTGAGTGGACAGACCTTTCTTCCTGCAGCAAAACCACATTTATTATTAGCTCCAAACACTGCAAAGTTTTTAAAAATATATTTTAATGGATAAAACCATAACCTGTCATGTATAAAATCTAGATGGTGCCTGACCAGCAGTTGAGGAGGCAGGCAGCTGACTTACTATTTTGGTTTCATACCAACAAGTTATCCAGTAAAATAAAAAAAAATAAAAAAACCTGTCTAACATTAAACCATGCGTTTCTGAGAAAAAGCAAGACATGCAGAGGAAATTCAACACAGAGGTGAAGCTCTGATTAGGCAACAAATGATCTCACTCATTCACAGGAAAGCTAAATCTTCAACATTTTTTTTTAGTTCCTATAGTACATGTTTGAGCTTGTGCAGAAAGAAGCACTTTTTAACAGCCAGATATTCCTTCTTGATTAATAATTGTAATAAAAAATAACAAAAAAGAAAATATGTTTTTCCATGTTTTAATTTTAAATAGAATGTGCAGTACACTGAAATAGAAATAAGTTAAGGATTTTGAGCTTTATTACCTTTTTAAACACTGATCTTACTGTAAACATAAAGGTGTATGTTTATGTTTATTTGAATCACTTATGCGCTAGTATAAGTGATAAAAAGCCTGCACTTGTTTCAGGCCATTGTTGCGGTCGTGGTCTGCTTGCAGTTGGACAATCTTTTTATGATTCTGTACTTTGAGTTGTCTAGTGCAGTGGCGCAACTACACATTATTCAGGTGGATGCGAAAACATAAATCGGCGCCCCCCCGACCCGAGGGAAGGAACATCGGAGTGAAGGAGCGACGCTCACAACACCCCCCCTCACCCCCTGTTTCCTGTCACATTTGCTCCAGTATCCCACACTTCTGCTAAGGAATTTCCTACACTTGCACAGTTTCTGTTTTGCTTTAGAAATTTAATCTACTACTTTCACTTGCTTTCTTCTTAAATATGTGTTTCTGTGACTCATATCTCTTCCTGATGAATCATATCTGACTGATATTTCTTTGGCTTTCTTCCTTGAACAAACTCCAGAATGTGAATCATTTATTTCTTTTGGGAATTCATTACCTATCAGTGCTGGACTGTCAACATTAGTGCCTTTTGAAATATTTTAGGGCCTGAAGTGCACTGTAAAACATTTGAAGGTGGTTTAACTTGAAAATGAAAGTCCGCCTGCTGCCTTGAAAATGCAGTGTAAGTCGACAAGAAAATTATTTTGGTTTTAACAGAAATGAAAGTTCAAGAAGTTGACTTAACAAGAGACAAGGTGTGTAAACATTGTTTCTTAAGTTCACTAATCTTGAATTGAAAGTTTTAACTTAATGCTGCAATTTAAATATGCAAGAAAAAAAACTGTCCTCGCCTAGTTAAAGAGTATGGAGTTAGATTTGTATGGAGTTAGATTTGTTTCACAATTATTCAATCAAAAAAAAAATCATGTCAAACAAAAAAAGTAGTATTCAATCAAAAAAAAAAAAATCATGTCAAACAAAAAAAGTAGTATTCAATCAAAAAAAAAAAAATCATGTCAAAGCAAAAATCACT